GAAGGTGTAGGTGGAGTATGGAGAAGTTTTATTCTTTGTTGGAAGATTTTTCTGGTATATTTTCTGGTGTTTTTGGACGAATTTCTTCAATATTTTTATTATTTGAAGTAGAAATATTTCTGATATTGTTGCTGCTAGTTATTGTATCTATGTCTTGGATTGTAGTTACTATATTTTTTTGGTTGTTTTCTTTGTAAATAGTATTTGATGAATTTTGGTCTATTTTGACCAAATTATGGTCTTTTTGGCCAGATTTTTTTGAATTTATGCATTCTTCTGACAGTTTGAAAGCTTTTTGTGTGTTATTATTTTGTGAAATATGGTTTGGAATAGCTGAAAAAAATTTTTTCTTCTTTCTTTGTGGCGCAGTAAATTAAAAAAAATGTTGTGCGGGAAAGAGTTTTTTTGTATAGTTAATTCTTTTTGTTGTATAATTGGTTTCTCAATTACTTGTTGAACAAAGTAATTTTCTCTTGCAACTAAGTTAGTAGAACTGAAATTATCAGTTCCCCTCTCAGTTTCACCAAGTTCTTCTCGAGTTGGTACTGAAATTAGCTTTTCAACAGGTGCTAGTTGTAGAAAAACTGCTTGAGCAATTCTAGCATTTGGAAGAATGTCATAGGATTGTTGAGAGTTGTTGTGAAGCAATACACTAATATTTCCAGTGTATCCAGCATCAATTGTTCCACCTTGGACGTTGATATCAATTTTTGCAAGTGAAGACCTTGAAAAGATTTGACAAACTGTTCCAGTTGGAATTTCCATTGCAATTTTAATATTAATTAAAATTGTTTGTTGAGGCAACAAAGTTAATACTTTTGTACCAGAATAATATAAATCATAGTTTTTATCAATACTATGCATTTGTTTGGATATAATTTCTTTTTCATTGTCATTGTAAACTTTGAGACAATAATTAATTTCTTTGATTTCTTCTTTTTCTTCATAATATTCATTCAAGATTTTTTCACAAGTGTCATAATCACTTTCATTGTCTTTTTTGATCAATTATTGGATTATTTGTTGAATTAATTGATAGATTTCTTCAAAGATTTGAGAAATATCTTCAATATCAATTGGCAATAATTATATATTATTTTGAAATGTTTTCAATATTTGTTGAGCTTCGTTGAATGAATTTTGATGATAATTATATTGTCATTTACTTGTTAAATTATTAATTTGATTAATTATTATTTTTAGATTGTCAATATCTTCTTTTTGCTTGACTTTGTTGATAAAATGTTGTTTTGATTGTACACAGTCAGAGCAAAATTCACTATCACATGAAATTAAATATTCTTTACAAAGCTTGATATGAATATATTCTAAATAAACCAGTTGTAGCCTTCTTTCTGGTGTAATTTGTTGATATATTACTTGGAAGATTTTAGCAGCAGTTGCATCTTCTGGATTATTATATGAATAATTTACATCTAAAATAAATTATTTAAAATCGAGTCACTTTAAGATATAATAATTTGATCACTATCCAATAAATTGCAATATTTCTTTACTAAATAATATGAATGATAATATTTTTAAATAATTCTAATTAATTATAATTAAGATATTGAGTTCAAAAATTGGCATTTATTAATATTTAGCATGATTACATTCAAATACTAACTATACACATTGGTAATTAATTGCAAATCACTTCAATTATTAATATTTTAACTAATTAATATTGATCATGATTATAAATGATTGCAAATTATTCTTGTTGATAATTAATTGTTAATCATATTTATTAGTAATTGAGTATCAATAACTCACTGATTAGTAATAATTGTGATTGAAATCAATTATAATCAATTCTGATTGGTAATTAATTAGTTATTTTATATATTAATAATTAATTTTTAATATCTTCACTAATTAGTATTGATCATAATTATAATTAATTACAAATAGAACTCATTGATAATTAATTGTTAACAATTTTTATTAGTAATTAATTATCAATGAGCATGATTATAAATTAATTGTTAATGGATATAGAAATTTCCTGATATTATTAATATGATCTAAAAGTAATAAAACTAAATTAATCAAAAGTAATAATATTAATAACTTATTTAGAGTAAAAAAGCATTCATTACTTGTAATTTCAAGCTTTAAAGATAATTTATAAAAATAAAAGTATATTTACAAGTAAAATATTATATATTTTCAATTTTTTATATGATTTATATAATTAATAACTATTTTAAATTATATTATAAATTATAAATAATATTAATAATACAAAAGAAGTATAAATACCAAAAATTATATAAATTTATTAACAAGAAAATACAAAAGAAAATTAGTTGTAATTTTAGTAATTAAAGATAAGAAAAAGCAAGAATTTGAGTAAAAAGAAGTATTAAAAGAAATCAATAGTATAAATATGATTGTAAATAATTATAACAAAGAAATTAAGAGATAAAAAGAATAATTATAACAAAAGTGAAAAATAAAATAAAATAAAAACAATTGGTTAAAAATAATAAAATAAAAAATAAAAATAAGTATAATAAAAATATAAATAAAATAAATTAATAGCAAAATTATAAACTTTATAAAGAAAAATACAAAAATAAATGAATTTAGTAAAATAATAAAAGAAAATAAAACAAAAAATATACAAAAATATGATTATTATTTAAATATTACAATTTAGATATCAAAAAGATAATGATATATACTAAATATAATTATATAATAAGATTCAATATAAAAATAAAGGAGCAAATTAATTTGATCATTATTGAATTATATAATATTATATTAATTTTTTTTGTAATACATTTTAATTTTTGTTGATTAAAAATTAAGTAATTATGAAATTTTTGATAAAAATGATAATAATATATAATTGAAAATAAAAAAATAAAATATTATTTGATAAAAGATTTTTAATAATTATATTTTTATTTTTTTTATTATAAATTATTAAGTTAAAGCTTAAATCATACTTTTATTTTTATATTTTTCACAAATACAAATTTTAATATAATAAATAAAATAAATAGTTAAAAGATAAAAGATAAAATAATATTAATGGTGGCTAGTCACGTTGATAACTTTTAATGCAGTTTATTGGTGATTTTCTTATCCTTCATATCTGTATACTAGATTAGATAACTCTGTAAACAAGACTACACTACAGCAAATAAAAAAATATTAAAATAAACAAAGAAAAAAATAAAATTCGTAAGTGAAAAAGATAAAAAAAATAAATAACTAAATAAAATAATATAAATAATATTTATTAAGTTATTTTTATATTATTTTTGAATAGTTTTTGTTTTTTAATTATTTTTGAATTTTTATAATATTTTATAAATTAAATTAACTAATATATTTTAATAAATATCAAATTGAGTATAAAATTCTAAAGATATTTTATAGTTTCAAATATCTTAAAGATTCTTGGATAATTGTATATAATTATTTATAAAAGTTTCTTTTAATCTTTTAATATATAATTCTTATAAGTTATTAGAGTTGTTTTCAATATTTTAACAGTTAATTAATAACTTTCCAATTTTAAAATAATAAAGTAGCTTTTGAGTGTTAATAATATTTTTAATATAAATCTTTTTTATATTTTTTCTGATTTAGTTTACTATTTATTGTTAGATAATATTATTGATTGTTAGATAATATTATTGATTGTTGTTTTTCTTTTACTTTTATAAAAAATATTAAATTTATGAACTTTGCTAGTTTTATTGTTTTTGTTATATTAATATTTGATTCAATTATGTAGTATTATTATTTTTTTCAGGAATAGTAAATACATTGATATTTTCAAGAAATTTAGAGCAATCAAATATTTTGGTTAAGAGCAAGATTGGTTAAGGTTCAAAATTATTTGGTTTGTCAGTGAGAAAATTATTTATAAACTCAGGATATTGACAGAGTTCTGGCATAATCATGAAGTATTATTGTTAATTGTTATATTTGATCATGATTCCTTGTATTGAAAAGTTTATTATTTTATTTTTTGGTAAAGGAGCAAATCTTCTAAGATCTTGGTAAAAGATTCTTTCATGTGAGGAGAAATCCATCCAGATAAAGCAGTCATTATAAATATTAAGTAGAATTTAAGAAAGAGATAAAGAAAATACAAATTGAGAGTGAATAAGAAATTATAAAAATGTTTTTAAAGAAAAAGGATAGAATAAAGTGTATTTATAATATTTTTGAAAAGAAAGTATTACAGTGCTAATATCATGATAAGGGTATTAATAAGAGATCTAAGGAATTAGAGACTAATTGAGGCTATTCTCTCCCAAGCTTATTATTGTAAGTAAATTCGTCAATTACGAGCTACCCGTAAATACATTTAACGTTAATATAAAAAATCTTTGTAAAAGTAATATGAGAATTAATTCAAAAAATTCTCATAAGTTTGAGCTTTTTTATTAACTTTTATGCCAAGCCTGCTAACATTAATACGTTAGATACCTTTAGGTACTTTGACTCGCATTGTGCCAATTTTCGTTGGGATACGGAGAGTACAGAATACATGTACTTCGATTAAGAAAGTAATCGTTGCATGCATTTCCAATTTAAAAGTTTTTGTTAAGATTATCATTATCGCATGTTAACGTTAATGGTTAAATAATCAATAATTTTAGTCGAAAAACAAGTTTCTTTAGACACATACTTAGATCAAAAAATGAATTTTTATTAAATTCCACAATGATTTCGTTTTTGAATTACGATTTTCTATTACGCTCGCAATTGAAGTACACTTGGTAAGCCAAATTTTGACTATTCCTGATAGTTAACTATCTCTTTGTTCCTTTTTGCATCTCACTCATTTAATTTTTATAAGTCTCATAATTTCTAAAATAAATATATCGATATTAATTTTCGAGTATTCAAATTATTTATACAAAAAGAAGAATGGATAACTTTATGCGTGTATGAGTATGGTATCTACATAACGAGAAACTATTTTTTATATAACTACATATATATATAGAGAGTATAAATTAGTGTTAAAAAAAGTCGCACTTTCTTGCAACGTATCTGTAAATGGAAAACGTGCTTTTCCTAGCGACAACTTCTTTTCTGGCGAGCTCAACTAAATGATCATACTGGTTAGGAAGAATTCCCATAAATTCCGATAGATATGGTTTGGCGATTTCATAACCAGAAATTAAATCGTATAATGCCTAAACAATGGATTTTTTTCAATTAGTTGTCAAAACAAATAAAGCGTGTACTTCAAAATAGTAATTTAATATATACCAATTCTCCCACAGGTCCATTCCATCCGATTGGTATCATTTTCACTTCCTTTTCATAAATTTCGACTTTCAACGTGTCTTCGAGGTAGTCCTCAAGTTCATCAATTACAATTGTATTGATCTTTTTGCTTTTGTAATAAGCAGTCACTAAACAATGAAAAAAGGTGCACAAAAATTTACACTAATGAGTTTATATAAATGAAAGGAAAGAAGAGACAATTAATTAATGCATGTATTTCTTACAAGCATTATTTAGGTATCTTGTAACCTGGCCTGAATTATTCACCGATATATTCAACTCAATTAATTCAATGTATCCACCTGGTTTTAGGATGCGAACTAATTCCCGGACAAGGAAATTCCATTCGTCTTTTGACAAAACGGTAACCCAAAAACTTTGGTGAACGACATCGAAGAAATTATCCTATTTATTTATTCGGTAATTTTGTCATTAACAAATTAAGCAGTTAACGTTGACACTAATAAAAAATACTTGCCACAAATGGGAGCCCTTTAAGAGCATCATGCAGATCAATAGTTAGATTTTGTGGTTTAATTGTTTGTGGAAATACTGGACTAATGTCGATTCCTGTGAATGAGCAGTGTCTATAATTAGTGGCCAGTTCTAGAAGCCACGTGGCCGGACCACAGCTACGTATTTTGCAAATCATGAAAACATATTATTTTAAATTCACATAATAAGATAGCTCGGAGTTACGGTTACATACCCACAATCAAATACATTAAGATTATTTTCTTCAATTAAATCTCTAATAGGTGTGCTGAGCAATCCTAATGCATATCGCAAGATATAATGACGTGAAATCAATCGATCAATTTCCTGATCACAATATGGCTTCGCATTTTTGATAAGCTCGAGATTCACTTTAAAGAGTGCAGACATTTTTTGAATTTTTCGATTTTTTTGTATATGATTATACAGAGAAGAACGAGATTTTTTGTCGATTTGATTTTTCGAATACAAGACTCCCATAATTACAGATTTTAGCTAATTAGGTAGAATCAATCGGGTAGATGGAAGAAGTATGATATTATCGTTATATTAATAAATAGTATCGTATAAAGAAAAACCTGTAAGCGACAAATTCCCAGTAAATAAATAGAAATTCAACAAACTACTTTGATTTTATCCCTTTTTAGGAAAGTGTAAGACTTTTTTCTAAGATTTGTCTCACGAAATTTAAGCTATGAAAAACAGCAAGCATCGACGACTTAAAAATTTCAACATGGGTAAATCTTTAATTAATTGAGGGTTTGTTTTTATGCAACGGGGAGATCTGCTCCGTTCTTTTCCGCGCAGATCAGTTTTTTATTTGCCGAGAATTTTTGCTGCCAAATTATTTGTTATCGTTATTAATTTTCCGTTACTGCGCTATTAATTTTGTTCACAATTAATTAATTCCAGGGAAGCTTCTTGGTGTTTATTTTTTGTGTTAAATTGAGTTTTTTCATATATATAATAATATGCGAATATTTATTTAAAATAGACAATAAAAAATTATTTCTAGTATCAAATTTTTCTGACGCAAAATTTTCATTTGTTGCTCGTTCTTTGACAACCAAGAACCATTTGTCATCATATGGTTGTAGACGACAATATCGCAATTCACAAAGTAATTGTGAAACAAATTCCTCCAGTAATCCTCCTCATCCTCAATATTACCAACACCACCAACAGCAACAAAAACTGATTATGTTACAAAGAATGAGGTTCTACGCGCGTCGACCCATGGAAATATTGAAATGATGATGCATTTCAAATGCTGGTAATTTAGTTAAATAAATACATGTATAATGAATATGCGCAGAATTCCGAACAACCAATCAAATTGTGGCAAGTTTCTTTTGCCTACGTATTAGGCATTAGAAAATGTTTCTTTATCAGAAGTAAATAATTCTGAATACTATGAAATTCTTTCTGAGAAAAATCAAAGGATTCTATATTCCTTATCACTACGTAATTCTAATTCATTGAAAACAAATGCAATGTCCAAGGGATAAATTATTACGTATATGAGTTACAGGCAAATATGATTGGGCGATATTCACAGGGACGAATGTGGACTTGTGTGTTCCAAAGACAATAATGCACCATTTGTTGCTGTTCACCAAAAAAGGAATTTTATTAATAATTTATGGTGATTGTTAACAGCAATAGTGAATTATTTGGTTCCTTTCTATCGTAAGCCCCTCTTTTGTATCATGAAAACAGTATCATGTATGTATACTGCTGTCAAGAGCGAAAAAATGGAGTTACTTCACAATAAACTTCTAAAAAATTACCAGGCATTTCTTAAATTTAAATAATTGTTATCGATTTGCTTTAAAAGGTAACTTTTATTGTCCACAAAACAGGAACAATATTAACGCGGGTTCATTTGTTCTCGAGTTTACGGGAGGGAAGAACTTGGATTTTCCTTTGCGAAAAAACTTGAATTTTTCATTTCGAATGCATACTCTTGCGACCATACAAAAACAAGTTTTTCCGCGCGATTATGCATACATGTATTACCAATATGATCATCAGAAAAGATTTACCGTAGAGATTTTCCTATCGCTATGTCGTGTTGCCGTTACTCTGTAATTGTTGAACTGCAACTAAAGAAAGTGTGTGAGTACTCTGTTACCCAATTTTAATTTATTGTTTTGACAAGGTTTTTTGTACATATGGCACCGATTCAGGGGGATGTTGAACAAAATCCAAATCATGTTAATCATGTACGTACTCGTTTATGTGAATCTTCATTGTTGAAAATCACATAGATAGTTATACTAACACGTGTAATATATTCCGATAACAAAGACTTTGTTATTGTTTACTCATGTTCATTGATGTGGACATTTACTTCTCGAATTAATGCTAGCCAAAATTAACAAGGATCAACTTTTGATTATTGATTATTGTCGCCCGGAATTAAAGATTTTTCTTGATATATTTTAGAAAGTTGAAATTGAAGTTAAAACGACTAATATCCTTACTTTAAACCACATCTTACATGCAACAAAAGTAAATAATTTATATTTATATTCTCAACAAAGAAAAATAAGATTGCCTGCCTGCCGACAACAAATATTTGTTAATTTCCTCAAAACATTAATTTACAAAACTCGTTATTTAATCTCCAGCTAAATCTAAATAATTTGTCATTTTAGAAAAAATCAAGAAACGGTTTTCGATTGTCTTGAAAGTTGTATTGTAAATTCCGTCGTCATCGTCATGAGAAGGGGATTAAGTAAGTGCGGAAAAACAGCGTTATTGTCTGTAATGTGACACACTAGCAAGTAATATAGTACCCGGGAGTTGATTGATTTGTTTCACCAAGGATTACTGGTGTACTTCGGGAAGAAAGATCTTCTTACATTTTCAGACCTGGTTTTCATCGGTTCATCTATGTCTATAAGCAAGAGCAATTGTTTTTCTGAAAGTTATGGACACTTTCTCAATATAAAAAAATTGGATTTATACAAAAATGAAATATCAAGGAAATCCAACCTTTTTACCAAATGATATTTGTATTGGTTCCTTTGCAACGACCAGTCAAGCGTTACATCTACCGGGCAAGCAGCAGAATCGTCCCGAAGAACAAAGTTCATCAATCTTTACCACTTTTATCAAAGATCGACTACATGTAATTTTTATTTACATGCTGTGCACCGCTCAAAAATAAAGTTTGAAAACAAATAGCCACTGAAAAAAGGGTATGAAAATTAATTGGAGAGCTTCGAAAAATGCTGAATATTGTGTTAACGTAAAGAATTAAAAGAATAATAAAAACTTGTCTTGCGAGATTACAATATTTGACATGATAAAAAATTAATGATTTAAAAAAAAATGACACCGAAATTAACGTTTTGTTTTGTATCGCGTAAAACCGAGGATGGTAACAAAAACAAATAATAGTTAAGCTCTCGGGAAAATGGCGAACCTAAATGCTGGTATTGTTAGTCATGCATGATTACAAAGGCAACCCAGAATAGCAACAATAACAAAAAACAAATTTTTTCTGCTTGAAATAACTGTTATTGAAATAGAATAGTAAAAACAACAAAGCATTATTAATGCACGAAATGGAAACTAGCACAAAGGAACTCTTTTTTGGGATTATATGGGAAAAATTACCACGCATTTATTTCTACTTATGCTTCGTCGTTGTTAAAGATATACATGTATCTCGCACTTTCATTCTAAAGGTTGATCACATAGAATGTTTGTTAACATCACGTGATCGTCAATTGAGATAATCAATATAACATACAAAAAACTTTGTAATTGAATTTTTTTCATATTGTTCGCCTTTCAAAGATTCTCACGAAATATGGAGAAAAAATATTACACAATTATACTTTGACTAATGCTCAATTAACATACTAAAGTCATGAATTCAGTTCTTCTTTCAATTTAAAAAGAAATATGTGATTTGATATTGACGATTGTATTATATAAGAACGAAAGCATTGTTGTTTGCTATTATATGAAGTTCATGATTTCTGAATAAGATTTGAGCAAGGGGTTAATCGATATCGCAAACAATTTTAAGCTAAAAAAATTTGATTGTGTGTCTTGTTCTGAGAAAGTAACCTATATTACTATGATGAATACAGAAATGAATACAGGATATGAATTTGTGGAGTTAATAACTAAAAACACGAAAATTTGTTATTCCAATTCGATAAAGTAAAAATATATGCAAATAAGACAAAGCTTCTCCTCCTTCTAAATTAAGAAAACAAAATGCGTGTATGCGTATTGTATCTCTTGTATTATACCGAATTGTGACGATATTCATTCATCATAGTAATAATAAATTCATTCGTTGCTGCTTTCCTAAGAAAACTCGTCACTGTATCTAATGAATTTTAATCCTGGCATGATTGCCAATAATGTTTACCCTACCACTGACAATGACTGCTTAATTTCCTTTTTATGAACCCCACGCATAATTTTTTGTTTCGTTTAGATAGATTGACAAAGGGAATTGGCTTATCCTCAGTCTGCGCGCAAATTCTGTAATGGAATTAACGCATACAACAGTTAAAACTTTAAGCTAAAAATAGTATAATCTTCTCATTTTATTCTTATATTAAATAGAACAATTGTAATTTAATGTGAACTAACGCGTGCAATCTCATGATATTATCGTCATCAATAAACTATATCGATATTATTGTTTCAAAAGTGCGCGATTTCTTTTTAGGGAATTATTTATTGCATAACAATTGAACAAATAGTCCAACAGACATTTTCAACAGAAAATAAAGAAACAAACGCATTATTATCTATAGATAATAATGTAATGTATGTAGATGCATATGTATAATCTAAAAAATTTGAATTTTCTTAATGCAGCAGCAGTGAGTGACATAAGTGACCGTGACAGAGACAGAGACAGAGACAGAGAGCAAAGATCACTAAAAACCAAAAACCAACCATTGTATATAGAAATGTAATCAAAACGTATTTCTGAGATTTGACTTTCTTTAATGAGCCAACACACTATTTTCCGGAGTGTTTTTCCTGGATACAAAGGGGTTTGTCATTCTAGGTAGAACCAGACTATTTTGCTTATTTTATATTACACTACGCCAATATTTGCTGTATTGTTGTTACCTTTAGCTTGCATGCATTTTATTCGTATTCACATTACAGTATACGTATATACATATTGATACATGTACATGTAGTCAGTTTATTTAGCGTGAAATAATTATGTATTTAACAATAAAAATCAGACATACACACAAACGATACACATGTAAAAAAAATCTATTAATTACACTATTTTCTCATTTTCTTTATCCTTATTTTCCTTATAAAAGCAAACACACCATTCTTTTATTACTATCGAAAATCGCTACTTGTCTCTTATTGATTATTTTTCCAGGAAGTGAAGTAACTGCATTGATATTGACTTGAGAAACTATATAAAGCACAAATAATTGATAGTCAAGTCTCTTTTTCTGATAAATTTTCCTTTACACTTTTAATATAACAAAAAAAATCTTTCTCAACAAGATGCCAAAAATCAATAGCAACAACATTATCTCTTCTGTTCGTCATCTTTCCGCATCTTATCCTCCTAATGACAACAACAACAATAATAATGACTTAGCAAGCGTCAATCATCGGTTTTTAGATGAATTGATATCAAAAATCGAACCACTCATCAAAAATAAAGTTGACCAATACACCAATCTTTCCCTTCTTGATTTGATCACACCAAAAGCTAAATCAAGAAAAGGAAAAACTCCACGGCCTCAAAACCCATTTGTGCTGTATCGTCGCAACGTACAAGCAAAACTTATTCGAGCGTATGGAAAGGAAATTGGTGGAGATTTGGCTACAATATCAAAAGCTGCTGCTGAAAGTTGGAAAAAAGAATCCGCTGAAGTCCACAAAATCTTCGAGTTTATTGCCAATCTCGCAAAGGCTGTGCATGAAGAAGTTTTTCCGAATTATGTGTATAAACCAAAGAAGAGACGGACTAAAGGTCCAATTTACGATATGGATGACGACGAAAAAGAGTTGCTTTTAAATGTCTCTCAAAGTTATCAGAATCTTTGCGCTTCTAATGTATCATCTGTGGATAACTATCATCATTTTTATTCTGATAATTCTCAATATAGTAATTGCCCTTGTCATATTGCTCCTCAATCGTCAATAATTGGTCTTCCTCCTATACACAATAACCTCAATAATAATGTTTACTTACCTCCTTTAAAAATGAATTCTCAAAAAACTTCCTCTCCATTAATTCATCTCCCTTCAATTTCCCAGTCTAATTCTAATAATAGTAATAGTTGTAAAGAAAATCTTTGTCAGCATTTTCATAAACTAATTCTATCACCGCCTTCCCCTCCTCCTCCCCCTCCTCCAACGGTCATGCCAAAGATTTCTTCTACCCCAATTTTCCCCTATGATCGTGGTGTTGTTCGTTCTTTAAATGTATTTTTTTAATTTTCATATAATTATTTCGATTATTGAAGAGTTTTACTCAATTTAACATTAGTCGTATATTATTGAAATTTATATTTATTATTACATTAAATCAAATGAAAGAATTTCGGGGTCCATACTGTGTATGCACGTGATTTATCTAATTTTCACTTTAATGTATAATAATAATAATATCGATATTAATTATATTTGCAATAACAACATTGATATCATTTTAGTTCTTTTTAGTATGTAAATATCTCGTGTATTTGTATATTTATTTATCCTTTCATTCATTTTTTTATTTTCTAATTTTATTTAATTATCTACTTTTTTATTTATTTTAGCAGCGTCTTTTGTTGATTGTCCTATTTTATCGAGTTTGCCTTTTGTATTTTTTATTAATAACAATTATATTTTTCTCTTTTCAAAATAAAACTACCATTAGGCAATATTTTATGAATAAAACAAACAGTTCTATTGATTAACTGTTCGATTTTACGCGAAAAAATATTGAGAATAACGAGTGTCTTCGCCTAAAATAGGATGTCTTTGCTTGCGGAATGACTATGTTGACTTGTCGCGCGTATCATTATGTGTAGCTTGTAGATCATTACACCATTTCGGGTTTTCGGGTGTTTTTGAAAGTTTCTTATTATCGTTATGATTGTTTTTACACACTAATACTCTTTATGGTTAACTATATTCCATGCAGATCAAAGCGTCTGACATATATATATATATATATATATATATACGTATATTGTTTTCTTGGACTTTGATATGAAGTATGTTATACGAGAGGAATTCCGGATTTCCTAGTAAATTTCTAATAATTCATGTACTTGCTTATTTTCTAAAAGTTGTATTTATTTATTTCTCGTCTGTTTCATCGCCAATTTTTATTCAGGGGTTTTGAGAACAGCAATATAAATAACTAATAAAATCGGAAAAATAATCATTCATACAATAATCACGTCTAGCAGAGCGAATGGTAAAGCGTTGAGTCGTTAATAACTCATATAATAGTAGCATCGTATTGATGATTAAAGAATCTTTCTTTCAAAAAAGATTTCTGACAGAAAATCTTTACACAATCGAATATATCGATTATACAATAAAAAGTAATGCGAGCGTGAACCTTGTTACGATAGTTACAAGCCAACTATAACACTGTTAATGGGGAACGTAGCATCGTCAAGCGATCGCAGATTGTATTCACTCAGGTCACGAACGTAATAGACAACAATATTAAGGATATCCCGTTTTTTGTGGTTTTTTATTTAATAGACTCGTGTTAAAATTGGTTATTTTTTTATACATAATTTCTACATAGAATACGAAGTATATTATCTTGAACTTACAAAAGATATTCTATACAACAACAATGAAAGTGTTTCCAATCAGGATCGGGGATAGTAAAGCACAATATTTCTTTTAATATTATGTTTCATTTTGAGCATAAATAATAAATAATATATTATAGTTTATATCAATTCAATTCAATTCATATAATACTGAATAATATATTACACTTTATATTTTACCCAAGAATTGATAGACTGACATATGGCTTTTATTGTCGCATTGTACTTTTTGCTGTTACAAGTGTTAGCCAGGCCAGGATATATATAATTTTATTAATCGTCGTAAATAAAGTTATATGTTATCGTTGTTAATCGATTGATTGATGATTTATTGTTATTTGAATTAATAATTCAATTCGTTTTATTGATGTACTTACCAATCAAAATTTATGGTCAATGAACTGCTTAAAATGGGATATTTTTTGTGATTAGTCTGATGCTTGATGATATAACTTCTATGATATAAAGGCAACAATTGCACGAACTATTTTATAGAATATAATACATACAAATGAATTTGTCAGCAACGGCATACACATTTCTTTTACCACTTATTTGCTTGTACATAGATCTCACAGCAACAACAAATGTTCCCACAGAAAATGAATCATATGTTGTATTAATGGCCGCGCGTTTTTATCAATGCGCGAATTTTACGGGACCTTACGTCGAGGTTATTTCACCTGAACCACGTTGTCAAACCTTCGAATTATCGACTACAGTTTCGAGTGTAAAAGCAACCTCTGCTAAACTAATTGTACAATACTATTCACATCCAAATTGTTGCGGGAGAGAAATGTTGAAGACTGTTGGTGACGAATCAAATTTTAAGAAGAGTTTGAACATTCTATCGGTGTTTATTACAAATAAGGAATATACATGATGTGGTTTTTATTTTTGCTAGTTTGTTAGTATTACTTGTAGTTTCGAGACAACGGCGCGATCTCAAAAGGAAAACAATAAGCAATCTTACAATATTATTGAAATGTAACTACACGTTTGTTTTAAATTTAATTTACAGGCAGGTTTTATTAATAATAAACATGTTAAAGCCTGAATTTAGCATAGAATTATGACATTTCATTACGTAGTATTTCATTTTTACGCATCAATTATCAACATAATACGTATGTATTATGCATTCAATTTACGTATCATATAGGAATCACTTGGAGATTATGAAAAACAACCAAAATCACTAGATTCCAATCGTAAATTATTCGAGCCAAAGTTAAGACCATGAAGTTGATTTTTCAGTTCTTTAATCAAAAATCCGAAACAATGATTAGTATGGAAACATCGTGTTATATTTTTTAGGAAATAAACAAACACTTATACCCGAAATTCATTATCTAAACAATTGGAATTTTAAATTAATGATTATTTTCAGCGCTCAATATCTTTATGTATACGAAAAAAAACAAAGTCTTTTTTTTTATTTGTTTGCTGCAAAACCAATCCCCTGCTTTTTATAAAAAAAATTTCCAAATAAAATCAATTGGTTCATTATTTTGGAAAATCTGAATTTAAATAAGAGGCATTCAGACAGAGTTTATGAATTCAAAATCATCCATATCTTTCTTTTTACACTTTATTTATTACACATTCTCTTATAAAGAAACAAACGGTTTATTATTATTTAAATGATCTATCTTAAAACAATTCGAAACTTTCCTAAAAAATTTTTTTCAAAAAAAAGTGGTAAAGATAAGTTTGAAAGAGCCTCAAACATTGATGAGATTTTCTATTTGGTTAAACAAAATTGGGGCAACAACTTCTCTGCTCCAATGAAGCAAATACTCGAGAGTGGTGCTAATGTATTGGATGTCAGGTAAAAAAGCCTTATCATTGATTTGCTTTTTTAATTAAGGAAATTATTGTCTTAACGCACGCAAACTTTTTTCTCTTTCGTTTTATATTATTATTAAATAAAGCTGTGGTCCAGGTATGTGGGTCTTAGAAATGGCCTCGGATTATACAAACTCAACTTTTACTGGTATTGATGAAGATAACTGCTATCCGACTGGAACGAAGCCTATTAATGCATCTTTTTGTCACATGTCTTCAACGAAGCAACTTCTTATACGTGAAGAAACTTTCGATTATGTTCATTACTGTGAAATTGAAGCGGAACCTCATAATTTGCCAATCATTGTTAAAGAACTCCGACGTGTGACTAAGATAAATGGATGGGTCGAATTGCTTGTTAATGGAAGTGGACATAATGCTGTGAAAATTTTGGGTAAAGGTATATAATAAAATGCAATCTCTGTTTTTTTTTTGTTGTCAAATTCTTCCTTACTTATTTTTATTATTATTATTATTTGGCACGATTTCTTCATATCATTTAGCGCATTTTTCTGATGTAAACTTTGATCAAAGACCAATTTACGATCATGGTTATAGTGCTTCTGATACCAATGAACGCGAGAAAGCAATTTTAACTCGCATATATGCCAAAAGAGTGTCATAGGGAATCTGAACCTTTAATTAGTATGTTAAAATATAAATTAAGAACTTTGATTTTAATTAATCTATATAGCATTCAATATTAAGACATTTTCGTTATAATAATTAAATATTTTTATTTATCTATTGCTTATACAGTTACTTTATAAAATACATGTAAATTAAATTATTATACAATCTTTAACACATTTATTTTATTTATATTAATTATATTAGTGTTTGAGACAATTTGCTATGTAGTTGGATCACAGAAATTTTGATATATTTCAAGTACATTCGCTTTTTTTCTCTTTCTGAAATTTAACAATAAAAATCACTTAATTGATTCTTATTTTTATTGATCAAGCACTACATGTGACAATTACGCTTACAATATGAACACCTTGATATTAACCAGGTAAAACTAAAATTTTCGACCAGTGAAAGCTTGAACATTGACTCCCAGGTAAGTGTGGTCTGTATACCCTTTCACGTTTTCTGGACCCATTTCGAAGAAAAGGCATTTTCATTAAATCAATTTTAAAAATATGCGAGTTAACAAAGCTTACATATTAAAAAATTTTAAAAACAAGACTATTTAGCAAGTTTATTATGATTTGAATGTGATTATATAAGACAATACTTCAAAATTCCCGTTATTTTTATTACATGTATTAAAAAAGGGGGGAATCTGATATGATACACCAAACCTATAACAATAAATTGCATGCTTTAAAGTTTTCTAACTTCTTAATTAGGAAGTAAATACAAAATTTAATCCACAAATATGATAGATTAAACCTTTCTTGGGATTAAATTTCTATTTACTTACAAATTAAGAAGATATAAAACTTTAAAGCATGTAATTAATTTATCGTTATAAGTTTGTATCATATTAGATTTCCCCCTTTTCTATTGAACAGCGCCCATTTACATGTGTATCGATCTCTGGATTTAATTACCTATCTTGTTTATTTATTTAGAGCCTTTAAAATAATTGATTATGGCTATTGTAAGACTACACATATTCGTATCTTCGATTTTATTAAAAGCAGACATAGTATCTGTATTCTCAAATATAAATTTGCTGGTTGTTGAGTAAATCTATTTTTATCGTTATTGATGATTGTATTACATGTACTAGTACACAGTTACAGTTAACCCGTTAAATTGAAGTACTAACGCTAATTAAAAACTGCATAAACCAAATTTGGTTCCAGGAAAAGTTCTATCGATATTGAATCCATCTCAATAAACAGAAGATGGTCCAGGAATGTTTATAGTAAACCTGCTCCAATAAACTTGCAGTAGTTTAGTAATAAACCTTGATACAATGAATTTTTTGAAATTTCTATCATTTCGATTGTCTGTGTATATTAAATGCAGTATTAACGTTACAAATAATTCACAAATGACCATACTTCAAAGTTTAATTTCATTCAAAAATATCAGCGATTTTTATAATTGAAAGATATATTATTAATATATAAGTTAGACTGGAATGCTTACAAAATGTTGTGAGAATATTACAAATTATCCATTTTAAATTGTAGAACTTAATATATGTACTTGATTTTAAATTTAAACCGGGTCTTATTCACAAATCAAGTAATTTGATTTAAACTTACTGGCTTTGTGAATAAGACCC